GAGGCATTGGTCCGGACTATGAAGGTCTTTGTGGGGTCTAGATGGGTCAAAATGAGGGCAGAAAGGAATTTTTTTTTCCAAGTGGTCAAAATCCACTTGTGTGTCAGTGGACCACATGAACCCCTTTTTGAGGAGCAACGTTATAGAAGCGACTAGGTTAGAGAAGCCTTTGATGAATCAATGGTAAAAGTTTGCAAACCTAAAGAACCACTGTACCCCATATATATTTGAGGGCACCTTCCACTTGGCGATAGCAGCCATCTTCCGAGGGTCCCTGACAAGTGCCACTAGGAGATGACAAGGCCCAGAAACACCCTAGTATTCTTGTCAAATTTGTGTTTCTCAGGTTTTGCGTCAAGTTGATTTTGGCAAAGCTGATCAAGAACAGTGTGCATATGGTGGACATGGAGCTCTTGGGTCTCCCAAATTAAATGGAAGTTTCCCAGTGCTAGTTCATCTTTGATAGTCACTGAGCCCCTGCCTAAAGTGGGGTGTCTGTGGCCAGACATTGAAATTCAGCTAAATACTTAGCAATGGACCGGGGTCCCTGCTTTAGGGCATGGGGAGCAGCTTCTGCAGAATGTTCTCAATTAGAGACATCAAAGATGCCGGCCATTGCCTATACAAAGTTCAAGTGTTCAAAGAGAGGACTGGACCCCTCCAAGAGCCAGGACACCCATTTCAGGGCCTCTCTGATGAGCAGACTAATTACTAATCCCACTCAGAACCGATCCCTGGCGTACATCTGTGGCCATAACTCAAACAGAAGATGGCACTGATTAAAGAACCCCCAAAATTTGGCACGATCCCCATCAAACTTATTGGCTAGGGGCACCTGGGGCTTATGGGATGAGGATGCAAGGATTAGGAGTCTGGGCTTGCACCTGGGACTGAAGGACTGCATTCTGGTAATGCAGTGACCTGGTTACATAGATCATATAGGATTACGACAACATTAGAGAGGGTGAGTTCGGCTCCTGCTGGGTACCTCCATACTGTGAGGTGATGTCCCATCTTATATTTTAGCAGGCTGCTCAAACTGTCACACACTGGGGTGTAGGTGGTGCAAACTAATGGTCAGAATGGGAGTCAGGTCTAGAGGTTGTAGCAGAACAGGAAAAGGGAACTGGAGTCATGGAGTCAGTGGCCACAGGCAGCAGTCATGGTCAGGAGAGAAGCCAGTGGTCAGAGCCAGGAGGTTTGGAGGAAGGTAGAGACTGGGCCTGGAGCAGGAACAGTTGCAGATTGGAGCAAGAATCAGTACAGGAAGCAGGTCCAGTGCAGCTGCAGGCACAGAATGCACTGAACAGCCACTGTGCTGCTGTTGCTACAAGGCTTGAATGATGATCTGCTGGCTCGTGTCCAAGCAGCACAGTCACTTAGTGAAAGATATTGAGCTCAGCCGCTCTCATTGGGTGCCAGGTAACTGCACTTGGAGCCAGCTGAGTTCCTGACAAGAGGACCATCTTGTCTTTGTGCAGTGAGGCATATAGAGTTATAGCCATCAGTGACTGCAACTCACTGACCCTCCTGGCAGATGTGACAGCTATCAGAATGGCCATTTTGTTAGACTGGTGATCCAAGGACTAACCCTGCAGGGGCTCAAAAGGGGGAGGACAGAACTCCATGAGTTTTGTTAGTAGCAAAATTCAATTCCTAGAGAGGAACATGGTATGATTTAGTTGGGAATTGGTCCTGCTTTGAGCAGGGGGTTGGACTAGATGACCTCCTGAGGTCCCTTCCAACCCTGATATTCTATGACAAGCTGTCATGGAAGGAAAGAGAGTGGTCAGGCCTTTAAGTAACCACAAGGAGGGTGCTTGGGGGTAATACACTAATAGAGCATGTAGGTGAACCTTTATGGATGCTGTAGACAGTCCAGAACTCTATGTATAGTAAGTAGTTCAAAACTGCACAGATAAAAGAGAAATCAGGTGCAAATCCTCTATCCGTTGCACAGATAGCCCCTTCATTTCTGACCACATCATTTCACAGTGGCAGGCTTTCTGGACTAAAGGAGATTCTCTGACAAGGGGATAAAACAGAACTTGTCCCACTTGATCTGAAGCCCTAAAGAGTGAAACAAATGTCACATCTGGTCCACCATGTTTTATGAGTTATGCTGCTACTATGGTAAACATTGTGTAAACACCCAGAAGGAGTGAGCTTTACCTTGATAGCTGCCACCTCCACCATATCCTGAGACCCTAGGATCCACTGTTACACCATTGGGTATGCGTTATTCTGGTCCCGACTGACCAGGCCAGAGCAAGGGACCCAGGTGACATTGCCACCTTCACTGGGTTCAGCTAAATCCTGACCACCGCCTGGGATGTGAGACTTTGTCCTCTCCCCACATCATTTATGTTCTCTTCCTGTCCCTCTTTTTTCCTTCTAATAAGAGTCTGGCTTAGCCAGCCAAAACTGTATATTTTGCAACACCGCTGAGAGCCTGTGACCAAAGAGGCAGCTAAAAGTGATACCCTAAACTGCCCACTGCTGGTACAAGTTTGCCAGCTGTTGGAGTGGCTGATAAAACCGTGCTATGCCTGTGTTTTTCCAGCAGTGAGGATGCAAGTGAAAGTCAACACCAGAGATAAAAGCTGCATTTTCTAACTTTGCTGTTCTCTTCTTTCTCCTTTTACATGCATTTGTTTTGTTTTGTCTTCTAGGAAAAGGGATTGGACTTAAGATGGGCTAGAATTGTTGCTGTTGCTAAACTTTTTCACTGTTTCCCAAAAAGGACAGTTATTACCATTGTTGATACCAGCTAAGAAACTGTCAAATCCCTATTAAAAAAATCACTCTACATCTAAAGAAAAAGGGAATTGGATTATGGTTAAAATAAAAGCCTTATTTAATACTTTATATTTCAAATACTTTAACTTTTCCCCTTCTTTTTCTGTATTTTTAATAAAAGGTTAAGAGAATGTTTAATGGTGTGTTTGCCATGGAAAATAAGTAGGCTGAGTTAAAACCAAGAAGATCTCTGTGTAAACTCGAAATCTCTCTCTCACCAACAGAAGTTGGTCCCATAAAAGATATGACTGTGTCTCTCTAACATCCTGAGACCAACATGGTTACAACAACACTGCATATATTTAATATTGGGCAGTTTCAGGTCACAGTGAAACTGTGTTTCAGGTCACACTTTCTCTAAGCCCTATATTCCATCAAAATTAATACAAGAGATCTCCACCCTCTTAGATACTGCAGGTGAAGTAGATAGCATTATTCAGATGTCTCTGGCTGGGTTAAGGAGTCCTTTACTTGGGGGTGGGGGGGGGGGGTGATCCTGTCTTCGGCCTTAATCTCCAGTTTCTAGCTGCAAGGTGTGGGCCATCCTATTGAGCAGCCTCTGAAATTGCAGAAATTTGTCCAGAGGACAAGCCATCAAGGAGTCTATATTTTTATCCGACGAAGTAGCTTCAGTGATAACACCTCCTATAGGTATCCCTTGATCATTAGAAGTCATTTCCTCATACCCTGAAGCCTCACCTCCAATGAACTATGAATGAGGCTGAGGAAGGACAGGTTTCTGGTGCTGGAAGTGGAGGCTGGGTCATGACATGTAGCAAGGGGATTATCTCCTCCCCCAAATTACTCTAAAGTGGATTACACACAGCTAAACACATCAACTATTTAAAATAAAGGCTAGAAAAATGTCTACAGTTGCAGACAGGACACAGAGTGGTTTCTAATGTTCTCCATGGCAAAGCAGAAGGAAGCGAGGCAGTTGGAACTACATTTCGGCCTGGTCTACACTAGGACTTTAATTCGGATTTAGCTGCCTTAATCCGAATTAACCCTTCACCCGTCCACACTACAGAGCCAGTTAATTCGAATTAAAGGGCCCTTTAAATCGATTTCTGTACTCCACCTCGACGAACGGAGTAGAGCCTAAATCGATTTTGTTAATTCGAATTAGGGTTAGTGTGGACGCACACCACCGAATTACTGTGTTTAAGTTAATGGGGTAGTGTGGCCGCACACCACCGAATTAATGTGGTTTAAAACCGAATTAAGGTGCTTAGTGTGGCCGCGCACAATCGAATTTATACAACCTGTTTCCCAAATTCGAATTATCTAAATTCGGATTAATCCTGTAGTGTAGACATACCCTTCCTAATATGGGTTCAGACAGCAAACACTAATGTCAGGATGGGGAACTATTCTGGAAAGCAGTGACTCTCTGAAAAGAGAAGTTAATTGTATATTAATTGTATATATAATTGTAAATTAAAATGAGCTCCTTTTGCAAAGCTGTGGCTAAGAGGGGCTGATACAATTCTTGGATGTACCAACAGAGGAATACTGAGTAGGACTGTGGTATTATCTCTGCATGCAGCACTGGTGAGACCATGACTGGAATTATATTTCCAGTAATGTCCACATTTTTAAAAAAGGACATTGAAAAACTGGAAAGGGTTCAAGTAAGAGCTAGAAGGAGCAGTCGAGATGTGGAAAATGTGCCCCACAGCAAGAGACTTAGGACATTCATTTATTTTGTGGCTAAGAAGAATGGCTCCCTTCAACATTGTGTTGATTAAAGAGCTGACTTGATCATAATCAACAACTACTTATGTGGAGAGAAGATTTCTGATAGCACAAAAGTCAGGTGACCACTTGAAAAAAAAAATATCAGACAAAATAATACAAAGATCTAATAGCTGTAAATTACAGCTAGACATATTTAAACTGGAAATTAGGTACAAGTTTTAACATTGAGGATAAGCAACCTTTGCAACAACTTAGCAAGGGATGTCTTTACATCAAGAGTGGATGTCTTTAAAAGACAGGCTCTAGCTCAACCACAATTTCTTGAGTGTGATGCAGGATTTCACTGGGTGAAGTTCTATGGTATGTATTATGCGGGAGGTGAGATTAGATTACCATAAGAGTTCCTTCAGCCTTAAAAATCTATGCACTTACAACCTGGACTTAGTCCCTACAAATCAGTGGGGCTTTGGGGTTATTTCCCCCTCCTCCCCAAAACTCACCAGTGCAGATAGTTAATGGAATAGCTCCAGTGGTCCTCAATATGCCAGCAAAATGAAGAAAAGCACATTCCTACATAAAGCCACGGCAATTTCATTCCACATATATCTGCAGTGATGTGAGCAAGTACAGATTGCTCCATCACAGGCATGTTGTTCAAATTCCAGCCACTATCAAGATATTCCTAAAAGTGGAACAGAAAAAAAAAAAGAGTCACTGGTCTAAGCCACATCAAGTAAACAACAAAAATTGAAGTAACTTACCTGTTCAGTAACTGAAGTTCTTCGAGATGTGTTATCTATATGTGTTCCAAGTCTGATGCATATGCACTGGAGTTTGGAAGGCTTTGGCCAGCAATGTCATTGATTGCACCTGCTCCCTGCATAGCATCAAGCCCTCCCCTGCTTGAGGATATAAAGGGTGTGGAGCAACCAACTACCCTCGGTTCCTTCACCACTACCCAATCCAAGTATTAGACTCAGCAGTTGTGGGGAAATGAGGGTATGTTATGGAACACATATAGACACACATCCAAAGAAGTCCAGTTACTGAACAAACAGGTAAGTAACTTCCATTTCTTCTTTGAGTGCTTGTCTATGTGTGTTCCATGTCTGGTGTCTCCCAAACAGTATCCATAAAAGAGGGGGTGGGAAATATGCAGGTCTCATTAAACAGGGATTTTAATACATCCTTGTCAAAATCGAGCATCTGGACATGCTGCCTCCACAGCAGAGTAATGTTTTGTGAAGGTACATTCATTACCCCAGGTGGCAGTCCTACAAATAGCAATTAAAGGAACACCTCTAAAAGAAGCTGCCTGTGCCTTGGTTGAATGTGCTCTAATGTTCCCAGGGAGCTGTAAATTGACCGTATCATAACTTTATACAACCTGACACCCATCTAGAAATTCTCTGGGTTGCAACTGCCCGAGACCCTTAGATCTTTCAGCCATGGGGGGGGGGGGGGGGGGAACAGCTTTGGGGATGATCTAAATGATTTTATCCTTTCAAATAAAAGGGCCAGACCCATAAGGATATCTAATGTGTGCACTGCAGCTTTACCCTTGGTTGACTGTGTTTCACAAAAGGATACTGGTAAATGTATCAATTGATTTAAACGAAAATCAGACAGCACCTTAGGAAGGAATTTAGGGTACAGTCCAAGAATAATCTAGACTTTGTGAGAAATCGTAGACTATACCCTGCCATAAGTGCTTGCAACTCAATCACATTATGTGAGAAATGTAATAGCGATAAAAAATGCTGTTTTCGGGGACAAATGCAAGAAACAAAAAACCAATGGTTTGAAAATCCTGTTAATACAACAGTGAGATCCCAAAAGGAGTAGGCTGCTGCATAAGGGGGAATTAACTGAAAGACCTGAAGTTTTCAAAGATCAAGAGTAATCAAGAATATTAGGAATTGTCATTTCCATTGGAGAAAGATTGCACTGTGTTCACACACTCAGACTTCAAGAACAGAAGGGATCATCATGATCATCTAGTCTGACCTGCACATTGTGGCCACAGAACCTGAATCACCCACTCCTGTAATAAGCTCATAACCTCTGACTCATCTACTGAAGTCCTCAAATCTTGATTTAAAGACTTCAAGTTACAGAGAATCCACCATTCACTCTAGTGCAAACCAGCAACTGACCCATGCCCCACATTGCAGAGGAAAGCAAAAAAAAAAACCCAAGGTCTCTGCCAATCTGATCAGGGGGAAAATTCCTTCCCAACCACTACATATATATATATATGCGCATATATATATAACTGATATGGCAATCAGTTATATATATATATGCGCATATAGGCAAGACCCACTACACAGACAGCTGGGAAATAATTCTCTGTAGTAACTCAGAGCCCTCTTCCTCTAGTTTCCATCTGCAACCGTTGGAGATATTTGCCAATAGCAGTCATGTCTTGGCCATGTGCCATTGAAGGCAATCTCAATCATACTAAATTTATCAAGGTCAGTCTTGAAACAAGTTGGTGTTTTTTTGCCCCCACTTCTCCCCCTGGAAGGCTATTCCAGAACTTCACTCCCCCGATGGTTAGAAACCTTTGTCCAATTTCAAACCTAAACTTAATAATGGTCAGTTTATATCCATTTGTCCTTCTGCAAACATTGGCCCTTAACTTAAATAACTCCTCTCCCTCCCTCCCTGGTGTTTATCCCTCATATGTATTTATAGAGAACAATCATAATTCCCCATATCCTTTGTTTTGTTAGGCTAAACAAGCCAAGCCCCTAAGTCTCTTCTCATAAAATAGTTTCTCCATTCCTCTGATCATCCTAGGAACCCTTCTCTGTACCTGTTCCATTTTGAATTTATCTTTCTTAAACATGGGAGACCAGAACTGTACACAGTATTCCAGATGAGGTCTCACCAGTGCCTTGTATAATGGTAATGACACTTCCCTATTGCTACTGGAAATACCTCATCTGATGCATCATAGAATCAAAGAATATTACAGTTGGAAGAGACCTCAGGAGATCATCTAGTCCAATCCCCTGCTCAAAGCAGGACCAACACCAACTAAATCATCCCAGCCAAGGCTTTGTAAAGCAGGGGCTTAAAAACCTCTAAGGATGGAGATTCCACCACCTCCCTAGATAACCCATTCCAGGGCTTCACCATTCTCCTAGTGAAAACAACAAAGAGTCTGGTGGCACCTTAAAGACTAACTGATTTATTTGGGCATAAGCTTTCGTGGATAAAAAACCACTTCTGATTTTTTACCCACGAAAGCTTATGCCCAAATAAATCTGTTAGTCTTTAAGGTACCACCGACTCCTTGTTGTTTTTGTAGATACAGACTAACACGGCTACCCCCAATACTTGTCTCCTAGTGAAATAGTTTTTCCTAATATCCAACCTTAAACCTTCCCCACTGCAACTTGAGATCATTGCTTCTTGTTCTGTCATCTGCCACCACTGAGAACAGCCTAGGTCCATCTTCTTTGGAACTCCCCTTCAGGTAATTGAACGCTGCTATCAAATCCCCCAACACACTCTTCTCTTCTGCAGACTAAATAACCCCAGCTCCCTAATCATTTTCACTGCCCTCCGCTGGACTCTCTCCAACTTGTCCCCATCCCTTCTATAGTGGGGGACCAAAACTGGACACAATACTCCAGGTGTGGCCTCAGCAGTGCCAAATAGAGGGAAATAATCACTTCTCTCAATCTGCTGGCAATGCTCCTACTAATACAGCCCAATATGCAATTAGCCTTCTTGGTAACAAGGGCACACTGTTGACTCATATTCAGCTTCTCGTCCTCTGTAATCACCAGGTCCTTTTCTGCAGAACTGCTGCTTAGCCAGTCGGTCCCCACCTTGTAGCCATGCATGGAATTCTTCCTTCCTAAGTGCAGAACTCTGCACTTGTCCTTGTTGAACCTCATCAGATTTCTTTTGGCCCAATCCTCCAATTTGTCTAGGTCACTCTGGACCCTTTCCCTACCCTCCATCGTATCTACCTCTCCCCCCAGCTTAGTGTCATCTGCGAACTTGCTGAGGGTGCAATTAGTCCCATCATCCGGATCATTAATAAAGATGTTAAACAAAACTGGCCCCAGGACCAACCCCTAGGGCACTCCACTTGATACCAGCTGCCAACCAGACATCGAGCCGTTGATCATTACCTGATGAGCGCGACAATAGCCAGCTTTCTATCCACCTTATAGTCCATTCATCCAATCCATACTTTTTTAACTTGCTGGCAAGAATACTGTGGGAGACTGTATCAAAAGCTTTGCTAAAGTCAAGATATATCACATCCACCGCTTTCCCCTGGTAAGGGACTTCCAATCCCAATCCTTACATTTTCCCTAACATTTCCTTCACCCACACAATAAAGACTATTAGAGGAAGTTTCATTAAGACTCATAGCAAATGACAAACAAAGTTTAAAACCCTCAGGAATTTTGAGCAGACACTGGGAAAAACAAAACAAAACAACACGATTAAACTAAAAACCTAACAAGTAAACGGTGATATAACCTAACTACCACAAACTAATCTATTTACAGATAAACTAATATGTGAGTGGCCAAGACGGGACATGGCCAACCAGCTCTATCTCACAACTTAAAGCAGTGAAAGGAACCGAGGCTTGGTTGGATGCTCTGCTCTTTCATACCTTCAAGAGAAGAGGGAGCTTGAGACTATGCAGGGAGTGGGTGGAACCAACAAACACTGCTGGCTAAAGCATTCCAATCTCTAGCACATGGAGCATATACATGCTAGACATGGATCACATATAGATAAGCAATCAAAGAAGGCAGCAAAACTTTTCAGAGGGCTACTTCTGATAGAAGAAATTAGTCTTTTTAGATTGAAAAACAGACAAATAAGGTCAATAAAATAACAAGAACTTTAACATCCAATGCACTTGCTCCTCTTTAAAGAACATCTCTGTGCTAGGAATTGCTGCAATAAAATTAGGCTACTCTTTCAAGAAATATAATTTGGAAGCTGTCAACTTCTAAGATGCACATTTGTCATTTTAAAAGTCTGCTTATATATAACGTTAGTCCTCCAAGACTGCAATACCATTTCCTTTTGTCAAAATAGTGCCAGTCACACATACAGCAGGAATACACTGTAATACAGAATTACAATAGGTTTCTTTAAACTGAAAAATCATTCAACACAAGACTTGTATTTTGTAAAACCATGAAATGAAAGTATGCACTCAGAGCAAATTAAGACTTACCTCTTCTTCTGGCCTAAGTTTAATTTTCCTATCTCTAACTGGAAAGCCACTGCCAAACTCCTTTGAAGCAATATCAGCCCCATATTCCACTGTGACATCCTCTTCAATGGTGCTCACAAGTCGCCAAAACTCTTTTTCAACTAGCTCTGTGGGAACCATCTGGGTATGAAACATGAGAAAGAGAAAATATAAGCTCACACAGAAGGTTGCACTTCTCACAGTGCTTATGGATGTACAGTAACCAAAGGTAACAAACACGTGACATATATAGACGAAGCAAATTCAAGGAGGAAGTTCACAAGCTTCAAATATTTTCCCATCATGTCAAAGGGACTTTAACTAGAGCCAGAAACATACCTGAGTACCATTGGTTACATCAGGTGTGCATGCTCTCTCTCTCTCCTCTCCCACCTCACCCCCTCAGTTAATAGTTACTTTCTGAACTTCATAGTGGAAGTTACTTATTAGTGTAATTATGTAAAACTAAACCAATACAGCAAAATGTTAGTATTGTAAGGCTCACAAAACTGCATCAAATGTTGCCTTTTTCCTTCAGTAATGAGGGACATTTGGGGCAGGAGTTTAAGGAGGAATATATTTTTGGATGGTGGTGGAAACCAGAAACGTGTGGAGCAGAAACCAAAATACTAACAAAGAACAGAAGCCTTTACAAATTAACATAATATTTAAATAAGAGCTTTCCCATTTGGATTTGTTCACATTCAAAACTCTGGATTCTTCGCCACCCCAAGTTTAATACTTTAATAAGCACGAAAACTGAAAATTGTATTAAAGCATCATAGTAAGCACATGAACATACATGTACTGGCATGTTAAAATAGTCTGACTTGAATGCATCGGCCATTTCTCCAAATGTGCGAAGTGTGTAGTCTCTTGCCGCTTGTTCAAAACCAAATGCTTCCTGTGGTTTATTACACTCCTGCAATTAAAATATGGTTATTTCTACCAATGAGTTAAAAATAAGACATTTTGCACTTTAGTGTTTTTCAAACGTAGATCTCAAAGTACTTTACAAAGATGGATCAGTATTATCCCCATTTTACAAACAGGGGAAAACTGGGGCATTTCAATGAAATGACTCGCCCAGGGTCACACAAGCAGCCACTGGAAGAGTCAGAAATAGAATCCATCATGCCTATCAGCTCTGAGCTTAATCCACCACACAACAATATTTGTTTGTAAATCAGATGAATCACTGGTGAGATTAGCATAGCTAGATCATAGCAAATTCTGCTTCCTCTGCTATAGCAAAGCAGAAAACACCACAAACGTTATCTAAGTTGAAAACCCAGGTGACATAGTGCTAAGATTTCATTATGTAAAAAGCTATCTAAAATCCAAAGCATCCTTTCTCAGTGGTTTTAATACTACTAAAGTAGATCAAATTTGGGGCCCAGCATATGTTGTAATGTCTAACAATCTGAAATGTACCCAGTCCTTGTTTCAGTTTCATCTTCTACCACCCATTTTACAGGACTATTTTCATCATAATAAATTGCAGTTCTGAACTTCTGATCATTAGAAGCCAGGAGAGAACAAAAACACATTTCAACCTAATTTCTCAGTTTACCTGAGCCAGACACTGGGGACACCTCCAGTCCCCTTTGGGAACATCATGAAGGGGTGGAATTAAACAAAAAGTATGGTAACTGTCATCACAGCCATCACACAACAGGAGACGGTCTTCATCATTACCACTGCCACATAAGAGACATACATACAAATCCACCTGTAACAAGAAATTACCAAACTGGGAATTTAAGTGCTTTAAGCAGTTCGTGGCAAGAGATCATTTTGGTAACTAAGTCATTTGTCACATTTACCAGTGTTTATTTTTATTTTATTTCCATAAAAGAACAGAGACAGTGAACATCAACTTTGTTCTCCTTTGTGGTAGAAAGTATCAGAGGGGTCGCCGTGTTAGTCTGTAGCCACAAAAACAACAAGGAGTCCGGACTCCTCATTGTTTCTGTGGTAGAATTTATATAAATCCCTTTGAAATTAAGAAATCACCACCAAAAGTGTTGAAGCCTGGCCAATCTGTTTTGCTAAATAAAGAGACTCAATTTTATTCTTAGTACTGGAGGGATCTCCTGCTCTTTACTTTCAGACTGATCTGTGCGCAAACACTTCAACATCCTGAGGCCAGCTGCCTGGAGCAGCCACCAGAAAACAGGGGAATTCTGGTTATAGGAGCATCTTCCTTCTTCCTCAGAGTTAGTGGACTGGACCCGAGCCCTTCACCAGGAAGGCAACAGCTTTCTAAGCAGAGCCATTTGCTTTTGGACAGGACAGGCCTTCAGTGCTGTGTCATGAGAGCTCCACCCACATCATCTAGGACAGGGGTCTCAAACTCAGATGACCCCGAAGGCCGCATGAGGACTAGTGCATTGGCCCGAGGGCCGCATCACTGACACCCCCCCCCACACACTGCCTCTGGCCCCGCCCCCACTCCACCCCTTCCAATTAGGCCCCGCCCCTGCCCCACCTCTTCCCACTCCTTCCCTGCCCCGTTCCAATCCCTTCCCTGAAGTTCCCACCCCAACGCTGCCCCCAGGGGGTGCAGAAAGGGAGCAGGGTGGAGCGGGGGCTGAGGGCAGGGAGTTGAGGTGCAGGATGCTCATGGCAGGGAGTTGGTGCGTGGGGTACAAGAGGGGTGCGGCAGGGGGTTGGGGTGCAGGGTGCAGCAAGTGGCTCAGGGCAGGGAGTTGGGGTGTGGGATGTGGCAGGGGGCTCAGGGCAGGGAGTTGGGGGTGCAGGAGGGGTTCAGGGTGTGAGCTCCAGCCTGGTGCCGCTTACCTAGAGCGGCTCCGGGGTGGCAGCGGCACTCACTGGGGCCAGGGCAGGCTCCCTGCCTGCCTTGGCCCCCGGCTCCACGCTGCTCCGTTCCAGGAAGCAGCTAGAACCATGTCCCTGCAGCCCCTGGGGGAGGGGGAGGGGGTCAGGGTTCCCTGCTTGTGCTGCTCTTGCTGCTCCTCCAGGTACCTCCCATGAAGCTCCCATTGGCCACGGTTCCCAGCCAAAGGGAGCTGCGGGGGGCGGAGCCTGGAAGGAGGCAATGCCGGAGCCCTCTGCCTCCTTCCCACTCCCCCCGGCCCGAAGGGGCGTGCTGCCGGCTGCTTGAGAGAGCAGCGTGAGGCTTGCAGCATCAGGAGGCAATCCCACGAGTAGGCAGAGGGGCGGGGGGGGGGTGCGGGGAGGAGCTTGGTGGGCCACACACAAGAGCCCCGCGGGCCGCGTGTTTGAGACCCCTGATCTAGGAGATCCACAGAAGAGGGAGCAGGTACTCCAAAGATTCACAGGAGCACCTGAAGGAGAGTAGGGGCGAGTTTTTTGGAGGTAGAGGAAGGAGAGCTATGGAGTCTGGTGAACAGAACCAGGAACTTAGCTAGTGGTAGGAAAAAATGTTACTGTTTAAAGCCTTGCTTAAACAGGGGACGACAGCAGTACTGCTGCAAGACAACTGAGGACAGAATAAGACTCCCAGTACCCTTTATTTTGTACCTCTAGAGTCTGGTGCAATCCTGTCTTCCAGTGACTGTGCATTCCTCCCCCTCCCGCCTAGTAAAAGGGTATATGTGTGAGAAGGATCCAGGCAGTGGGAAAGACTGAAAGGGCCCGTATATTGTCTTCTCCACAAGTAAAAGTTTCCCTTTCCTTTGCTTTTTAGGAGAAGCATCTGCTATGTTGAACCAAATAGAGCATCTGAGTTAGAGTTCAAACAGTGGAGTAAGAGGTGGGTCTGCTAGAAAGCTGGGTGCGAAAACTCTTATTAAATCTTCTTTCTAACTGGTACACCTACGAAGAGAATGGTTTCCGAATAGTAGCCGTGTTAGTCTGTATCCGCAAAAAGAACAGGAGTACTTGTGGGACCTTAGAGACTAACAAATTTATTTGAGCATAAGCTTTCGTGGGCTACAGCCTACTTCATCGGATCCGATGAAGTAGGCTTTAGCCCACAAAAGCTTATGCTCAAATAAATTTGTTAGTTAGTCTCTAAGGTGCCACAAGTACTCCTGTTCTTTCTACCAAGGGAAAGATCAGCAGATCAACCCATATCCAGAGTGAGGAAGCCCGGAGAAGAACCAGGTTTCTTTTGACTGTTCTATCACAGTTGCTATTTTAAGGCAGTACTGTGGGGAAGGATAGAAATTATTTCAGTTGAAACAGGGTGAAATGAAATTACTTTATATCCTGCTTATGACATGAAATCCTGATGGAACCTATGTTCCAGCAGGCAGACACTCTGTTTGTATTCCTATGACTGGAATGAGAGTAATTCAGGAAACTCCCATTCCCACTACCTATACTATACTATGCGCCCAGCTCTAACCCAGGACTGTCTGCAATTAGAATTAAGTGCCAGAAGGGCAGGGAGTACTCACTGCATTAGTGCTTTTTTTAGAGCGCCCTTTTGATTTCTCTCTCTCCGAGTCTCTTTGTTCTCTTTTCTCAGCAGGTTCTCGTTTCACTGTGCCAGGCATTTCCTTCTCTGATACAGGAAAGGAAAATTAGACTATTACTGGGTTTAACAAATATTTCACAGCATAAACAGTATTTGAAGCATGTATTATCATATCATTATATACATTTGGAGGGGCTCTCTTTCTGAGTGAATCTGTTCCTATTGAGATATGGCTACTGCAATGGCTATGCTCGTCTTTAGGTATCTGTGCAAAGACTGTCAAAGGTGCCAGATTTTGTGGGGGTTGTGTAATATGGACACAAAGGACACCAAACATATTTTCATGTTACTTTAAGCAGCACTTGAACTCCTACCTGGAAAGGCTAGTATTATCAGGATAAAACAAGCATGGGATCATAAACAGATGCAGGCCACTCCAAACACATATGATTTATTTAGAATTGATATTTTAAATAGTTTCAAGTATCAGAGGGGTAGCTGTGTTAATCTGGATCTGTAAAAAGCAACAGAGTCCTGTGGCACCTTTAAGATTAACAGATGTAATGGAGCATAAGCTTTCGTGGGTGAATGACATGCATCCGACGAAGTGGGCATTCACCCACGAAAGCTTATGCTCCAATACATCTGTTAATCTTAAAGGTGCCACAGGACTCTGTTGCTTTAAATAGTTTCAGTGATCCAAAGAACTGAAAAAAAAAAAAAAAAAAAAAAAAAAAAAAGGACGAATGAAATTTCAGGTTCATAGACGTGGTTGGATTATTCTTTAATGGGACATTTCACAGGGACACAAAAGAAACAACACTATAATGTCCTATGATGATTTTCATACTTTATTTTCTTGCAATGGCAACTGCCCCAAGAAAATATCCCAAAAAAACAAATCGGTACCAAAAGGAGTCTTCTGGGAAGGGAAGCTCTTCATATTGCTTTCTAGCAAGCCCACCCCCATCCCCATATATCTGCTCAAGCAGCACAATGACCGACATTCCTCAGAATAAGGGAAAGCTGCCATAGTGTAGGGTCTTTGGGGGGTATGCAGTAAAAGAAGAACATGCAGTGATCCTCAGGGCTCCAAGTGGAACCCTGAAGGTTATAAATTAAGGTGCACTATGCTAGGAGAAATCTGCTGTGAAATCTGGTTTGTTCTCTAAATTTGACAGATTATCAGGGTGGACAGAAACAGCTGATGAGATATTAAATTACATTAAGAAATATAAATATTGATCCACATGTTAACACAAATTACAACTCAATCTCATTGTTCAGAAATATTGTTCATACCTAAGTTTATTTTTAAAAAAATCTGCAAAGTCAAACAAGTCTACAGTCCGGGTTTGTGAGAGAGAATCAAGAAATGGGACAAGTCATCTAGGGAGTAGTTTTGTTACTTTTTAAATAAACTAAATAGTTTTCAGATTTGTTCTACTGAACTCAGTCAACAATTTTTATTCTTTATCAGGATATCATGGATCATTTCTTCTATTAACCTGGAATTGTTTATTATAGTGACTTGGAAGCACCACTGTAGTTAAAGTTGTGTCATGACATCTGTTTTAAAGGTCAATCTTTCTAAGGCTATGTCTACACTGGCAGAGTTTTTTTATCAAAAATTTAGTCAATGAGCAAAAAGCATAAAAGAAAATCATTGTTGCACGTTTACACTGTCTTCCTCTGTCGGCATAGTGCGTCCACACTTGGGGTAGTAGCATCAATTGTGAGAGCAATGAACTGCGGGTAGCTATCCCACATTTCAGCTCTCCACCTTCTACTGCTACATATTGTGGGATGATGGAGTGGATCGCAGGACATCATGGGTCCGGGCTCAATGTCCCATGATACCTTGCTTTCCATCACCCCATTCCATGTGCTTCAGTCTTCGGTTCGTGGCATTTTTAAACATCCCTTCTTTTCTGCTTGCCCCACCATCTGTCTGAAAGAATGGATCCGCACGGCTCTCCCATGTTCTGCTAGCTGTCAGTAGCACATCCTGAATGGCAGTGCAGTTAATCGTGAAGTTCCAAACTCAGTGGGATGCACAGTTGCCTGACGTGCTGTCTGACATCGATAGGAGCAACATTAGATTATTTTTGGCATTCCTGACACAGCTGAACATGGTGTACCCTCGCTTTTCAGCTTGGGAAACTAGCACAGAGTGGTGGGATTGCATCATTATGCAGGTCTGGGATGACTAGCAGTGGCTGCAAAACTTTTGGATGAGGAAAGCCACCGTCAGGAATAGTATCCCTGATAATGTCATGGCAAACCTAGTGGCTGAACTTTGTGACTTGGTCCTCACCCACAACTATTTCAATTTGAGGACAATTTATGCCTTCAGGTCAGCGGGCCTGCTATGGGTACTCACATGGCCCCAACATTTTTATGGTTGACTTAGAACAACGCTTCCTCAGCTCTCGTCCCCTAACGCCCCTGCTCTACTTGTGCTACATTGATGATGTCTTCATCTGGACCTATCGGAAGGAGGCCCTTGAGAAATTCCACCGGGATTTCAACAATTTCCACCCCACCATCAACCTCAGCCTGGATAAGTCCACACAAGAGATCCACTTCCTAGACACTACAGTGCTAATAAGCGATGGTCACATAAACACCACCCTATACCAGAAACCTACTGACCACTATACTTACCTACATGCCTCCAGCTTTCATCCAGACCACATCACACAATCCATTGTCTACAGCCAAGCTCTAAGATACAACCCCATTTGCTCCAATCCCTCAGACAGAGACAAACACCTACAAGATCTCTATCAAGTATTCTTAAAACTACAATGCCCACCTGCTGAAGTGAAGAAACAGATTGACAGAGCCAGAAGGGTACCCAGAAGTTACCTACTACAAGACAGGCCCAACAAAGAAAGTAACAGAACGCCACTAGCCATCACCTACAGCCCCCAACTAAAACCTCTCCAGCACATCATCAAGGATCTACAACCTATCCTGAAGGACAATCCCTCACTCTCACAGACCTTGGGAGACAGGCCTGTCCTCGCTTACAGACAGTCCCCCAACCTGAAGCAAATACTCACCAGCAACTACACACCACACAACAAAAACGCTATCCCAGGAACCAAACCCTGTAACAAACCCCAGTGCCAATTCTGTCCGCATATCTATTCAAGGGACACCATCATAGGACCTAATCACATCAGCCACACCATCAGGGCCTCGTTCACCTGCAGATCTACTAATGTGATATATGCCATCATGTGCCAGCAATGCCCCTCTGCCATGTGCATTGGCCAAACCGGACAGTCTCTACGCAAAAGAATAAATGGACACAAATCTGACATCAGGAATTATAACATTCAAAAACCAGTAGGACAACACTTCAATCTCCCTGGACACCCCACCCAATAACAGACTTAAAAGTGGCAATTCAACAACAAAAAACTTCAAAAACAGACTCCAACATGAAACTGCAGAACTGGAATTAATTTGCAAACTGGACAGCATCAAATTAGGCCTGAATAAAAACTGGGAACGGACGGGTCATTACAAAAACTAATTTCCCCCTACTGTTACTCACACCTTCTTGTCAACTGTTTGAAATGGGCCACCCTCATTACCACTACAAAAGTGATTTTTCCTCCCTGGGTATTCTACTGTTAATTGAATTGTCTCGTTAGACTGACCCCCCCAAATTGGTAAGGCAACTCCCATCTTTTCATATACTATGTATATATATATCTGCTACTGTATTTTCCACTCCATACATCTGATGAAGTGGGTTCTAGCCCACAAAAGCTTATGCCCAAATAAATTTGTTAGTCTCTAAGGTGCCACAAGGACTCCTCGTTGTTCCTCCTGGAACTGTGTGCTGAGCTCGCCCCAGCCCTGCAGCGCAGAGACCCCCAAATGAGAGCTGCCCTCTCGGCGGAGAAGCACATGGCGATCACAATGTGGAAGCTGGTGACTCCAGACTGCTACTGGTCGGTCGCAAATCAGTTTAGAGTCGGGAAGTCGACTGTTGGGGCTGCGTTAATGCAAGTGTGGAGGGCTATTACTCACATCCTGGTGCAAAGGACCATGACTCTTGGCAATGTGCGTGAAATAGTGGATGGCGTTGCAGAAATGGGTTTCCCTAACTATGGAGGGGCGATAGATGGCACAGGGCCACCTTGCAACAGCGTATATCAATAGGAAGTGGTACTTCTCCATGGTGTTGTGGATCACCACAGGCATTTCACTGACATCAATGCGGGGTGGTCTGGAAAGCTGCATCTTTAGAAACACTGGCCTGTAAAGAAAGCGGCAAGCAGGAGTACTCTTTCCAGACCAGAAGATTACAGCAAGGGATGTTGAAATGCCCACAGTGATTCGGGGTGACCCAGCATACCCCTTAATGTCATGGCTCATGAAGCCATACACGGGAAACTTAGATAGCAGTAACGGTCAACAATAGGCTAAGTAGGTGCAGGATGACCGTGGGATGTGCATTTGGCAGAATGAAGGCACACTGGTGATGCCTTTATGGCAGGTTAAATCTCAACAAAGATAATATTCCTATGGTCATAGCTGCTTGTTGCATGTTGCACAATATTTGTGAAGGTAAGAGTGAAAAGTTTGGTTGGGGCGGATTGCTGAGGTAGAATGCCTGGCTGCTGCTTTTGAGCATCCCTCCTGCAAGCAGCAGCATCACATTCATATTTTGTTTCATCCCCCATTGACCCACTTACCATTTGCAGGTGTACATCCCATTCTGCGCCTCAAATTATGAGTTTTGGCTTCTGGGGTTTCATCTGACTCCATTTTAATATTAGTAGCCTTAAAAAATAAATGGTCATATTTAGTAATTGAACATCTTATTCAAACCTCAATTCTTCAGTTCTGAATGTTACATTTGTAACCCAGATACTGTTCATTACAAACTACATTGTTCAGAGGTAAAGACTTACTTACCTATAGCTTAAATAGATCAGTAGAGACCCACACTCTCAACATATACCTACACACTTGAAAGACGAGAACCTTCTGAAAAACTGACCCTTGGGAGACCACGTGGCCTCTGCTTCAAGCTATGTAATGCTCCATTGAAAGGCCACCTGAAGGGCTCTCATCATCAGTTCCTTCCACCTCCTCAACGGCTGGTTAGGCTCTGAATAAATGGGGATGAAGGGTGTGGAGCATTCATCTAAATCAATAACCTATTTGAAATACTTATGCTACAAGCAAGTAACTCTTCTTAGTCGTTCCAATATTATCACTACAGATCCCCACTCTTGGGAGGATCAAGAAGGCTAACATCTAAAAGACTGTAGGGCTGCACTACTGAAACAGGCCTCCAACCTCACGCCACATCAGGAAAGCAATGCTACATGGAAAGGTGGACTGAGCTTCAAGTAAAAGCTCTGCAAATCTCCACAATGAGCACATTTCTATGGCAGGCCCTGGGGGTGGCCTTGAACCTGGTAAGAAAACACCCCAATACCCCGAAAGACTAGTATGACTAGTAAATCCAAAATCCACTTTTGGATACAAATCTCAATCCACTTGGATAAACACCAAGAGAAGATGGCTAATGGTATTAGGCTCAGAGGACAAGCTACAGTCAGTCTGGGAAGCATTCAATGATTTTGTCCTATTAAGATAAGAGGTCTTTTAGTATGTAAAAGTTTGTAACCTGGCTTCCTTTAGAAAAGAGAATATGGCCTAGGGAAAAATTTATTGTGTGAATCAGATGATAGTCAGACAAGTCTCAGGGAATAAAAGTTTAGCATGGGGATGCAGTACTACCTTATTCTTACAGAAGACGAGGCATTACAGGTCATCCATCAGTCCTGCTATTGCCAGACATTTTGTGAATACTCCCAGTGCCATGGAATCCAAAGGGCAGAACCCTCTACTGATAATGGTTGAGCATCTCTGTGAATCACAGGTACTTCCTGTGGGGGCCTGGTAGCTATCTATATGAAAGTATGTATCCTGTAAGGTTAGAGACTGAAACAAGATTTGTGCTCAGAGAGAAGGAATAATGGAAGCAAGAGTTACTATCCTAAACCTCAGATGGTGTATGTATTTTATGAGTCTCCTCAGGTCTAGGGTAGGACGAAGACCCCCTTTCTTCTTCAGAATGATGAGAAGCCTCTGCCCCTGAACTCTACTTAAACATCCCCTATGGCTCATAGATGATGCAAAGTGGCCGAGCTCTTGTGAGAAGGGTCTTTACATAAGAACATAAGAATGACTATACTGGGTCAGACCAAAGGTCCATCTAGCCTAGTATCCTGTCAAGTGATCCATCCCATCTCACATTCCCAGCTTCTGGCAAACAGAGGCAACCCAACAGATTTAGTTGGGGTTGGTCTTGCTTTGAGTAGGGGGTTGGACTAGATAACCTCCTGAGGTCTCCTCCAACCCTAATCTTCTATGATTCTATGACAACATCCTTGCCCATCCTGGCTATTAGCCACCGATGGACCTATCTGTCATGACCTTATCTATTTTTTTTTTAATGCGGTTAATGTCTTGGCCTTTAGAACATCCTTTGGCAAGGAGTTCCACAGATTGACTGTGCATTGTGTGAAGAAATACTTCCTTTTGTTTGTTTTAAACCTGCTGCTTATTAATTTCATTTGGTGACCCCTAGTTCTTGTGTTCTGAGAAGGAGTAAATAACACTTCCTTATTTACTTTCTCCACACTGGTCATAATTTTAGAGACCTCAATCATATCCCCCCATCGTCGTCTCTTTTCCAAGCTGAAAAATGCTAATCTTATTAATCTCTCCTCATATGCCCCAGATCCCTAACCACTTCTGTCCATCTCTGCATCTTTTCCAATTCCAATTCCTGAAGAGGGACAAGGAAGGGAGGTAGAGGTAGGGGGTAAAGAGCAGAATTGTATGTGTTAGCCATGGATGATGATCTCCAACATCCATCTATCCTATGGTATGGCAGACCATACCCAGTGGAACTGAGCAAGGTGGCTTCCGAATGCCATACTCTCTGGACTGGATCTGATGTGGCTCCCAACAGTCCTGTCAAATTTGCTGACGTGTCATATGGATCTTCACTGCCAAGAAAGAGGAAGGCTAGTGCCTTCTGTTGTACCTTGGCTTGGCACAGTACTTGTGTTGCCAGGAATAACAGGACAGAATTGTTGCTCAACTGGGGTTGAGGACAATATGGCTTGCACTATGCGTGTAAATCCTGTATGGCGGCTTTTGAGTCTTAATGAGTGCAGAGCACTATCTATGTTCTTAATAGCGCTCTCCTCTCAAAGAACAAGTCCTCCCTCGTGGCATATACTCCTCTTGGGATGCCTGGAGCCACGTTGTGCTGCATATTGTTACTACAGTGGCAGTACGTTTGGCCACAGTAGAGGAGGCCTCAGCTTATAAGGCCATGTTGGCCAGCAATTGGCCTTCCTTAATTATGTCCCTGATCATCTCTCTAATGTCATGCAGAAGCTTAAACAGGAAGGCGGCCATCCTGTTCTACTGCTGAACTAAGAAAGTTGGGATGAGCATAGAAATATTTAAACCACATTGCAGGGGCCTCCACTGGTTTGTTAATCACTTCACAGGGATATTATTGTGGCTGGTGTCTGCCACAGGCTTTAGAGCTTGGGTCAAGGACAGGGTGGATAAAAATCAATGATTTAAAAAAAACAAAAAACAAAAAAACAAAAACACAAAAAAAACCACTTTTTTATTTAAATCGGATTTTTTTGATAAAATGCTTTTTGAGGAAAAAACCTCTCTAAAGATAGTTTTACTTAAAATACATTATAGCTCAAAGATATCTCATCATGGAATAGGGATTATAAATTCTAATTCTATAGTATGAGACAATATATTCATGTAATGTTTAAGAAAAGTTTTGCAAATGAGTTCCAATAGTTCATGGATTAGGGACCCAATCTTATGGGGTTCCACAGGCTTCTGTATAGGTTATTTAGGTTAATCTTTCTATCTACCCAATGGGACTCAGTGCTCAGTCTAGAAGATACCATCAGAGATGCTTAGTTTTGCAGTTCTCAAACTGTGGATTTGTGTCTCCAGAGGTAACATGCTTAACAGCAAAAATGTTTTAAAATAAATAAATAAATAATATATAGAGGTGAGAAATAACAGACCTCAACCCTATTGTCCCTCTGCAAATTTGCGTACACAGAGTCAATCTCTTTCCTCTCTCTAAAAGTGCAAAGTTTCAAAAAGTTCAATGAATAGAAAATTGTTGGGGGTGGAATAGATCTGGACAAGGAGAAGAAGTCTGGAGATAAATGTGAGAAGTGAGGGACATATGCTTGTTTTGTTAAAATATTATGTTTGCTGTTGAAGAAAAAAATCCAGAATACTTAACGTTGTTGTTTTAGTTAAAAAAAACAATTTAAATGTCTGTCTGGTGATGTTCTCCTCCTAATACAGCATGGCAAGAAAATCCTCCAAATACTAATGATTAACCTGTTGAATTGGAGATAGTTCACCTCCCAATAACTTCATAAATATCTGCTTCAATTACCTTTGGTAAATGAAATAACCAAACAATCATTCATTTTCTGATATAGCTGTACAACTAATCTGAAACGTTTTCAAAATACACCTCTACCCCGATATAACGCTGTCCTTGGGAGCCAAAAAATCTTACCGCGTTATAGGTGAAACTGCGTTATATCGAACTTGCTTTGATCTGCCGGAGTGCGCAGCCTCCCCCCCCCCCCCGAGCGCTGCTTTACCACGTTATATCCGAATTCATGTTATATTGGGCCACGTTATATCGGGGTAGAGGTGTAAATAACTGTTTAAAAATGTATAGTGTGTACCTTCTAAAAATGAAATTATGAGTTGTGAAGAATATGTATTTAGGTTATAACAACCAACAAGAATACACTTTTATGTAGAAAACCATGATTAAATTGATTATTAATTAAATAAATTAAATTCCTGGCTAGTAATTTAAATCATGATTTAAATCAAATCCACCCTGGTCAAGGAGTCTCTCATTTATGAGGAAGCCAATCCTAGCTGGACTAGAGGCTGACAAGATGTCAAAAATCTGGTGGGATTTCTCCAACATGACAAATCTCTCTCTCCAGAATATCAGCAATCCTCACCAGGTGCTCCTGGAACCACTCAGGAAAGCCAAGGCAAGGAAGCTACCCACTGAATCAGTGGCAGAGCCAGAACTCTAACTCAGGACTTCCTGGGTATGTCTACACTGCAATTAGACACCTGCGGCTGGCCCATGCCTGCTGACTCAAGCTTGTGGGGCTCAGGCTCAGGGGTGGTTTAATTGCAGTGTAGACCAGTCAGGCTCAGGCTGCAGTCTGAGCTCTGGGACCCTCCCACCTTACAGGCCTCAAGCATAAAACCATCTTCTCTTCCTGCAGTTCCCTGCCTTATTCACTAACCAACTTCTAGCAAGAAGTCTCATTCACTACATGACCCCAGTTAATCCCCGATACAGTCCATCCCATGCAGTGAATGTAGCAAAAATTCTGTGTAAAGACAGCTGTATACGATCATATTATTCTATGCATATATACATGGGTGCAGATTTAAGGCTCTACTGGCAACTTGAATTCTGGCCTTCAGTAACTTTTGAGTGCTTCATTTTGAAAGCTAAATATTCTTATAATGTTGGGTTTTTTTTTATTTAAAGTGGAAGTGAAATTTGTGTCTGCCATATTAAAAATCTTTATTTATTTATTCCCATTGTTTAACGTTTCGGTAGGATACAGTGCCTCTCTCAATAACAACGGTCTCCTGGTTCCCAGCCCAAAGCACCTTATCTGCATCAAAGGTAGTATGATGGAGGAGGGGGA